TATTGTTCTAACTAAATATTGTCATAGAAAGTAGAAGACAGTCTCACAAAACTGCCTTGTATTGTTCTAACTACATATTGCATGAAAAGTGAAGCAGTCCCCAAAACTCCCTTGTATTGTTCTAACTACATATTGCATGAAAAGTGAAGCAGTCTGAAAAAATTGTCTTGTATTGTTCTAACTACATATTGCATGAAAAGTGAAGCAGTCTCACAAAACTGCCTTGTATTGTTCTAACTACAAAAGTACTGATAAGAAGACAAGAAATCATTGAATTAAGAATGTTTGGAAACTCTTATTTGAGAGATAATGGAAGTCATCAAACTGCCAATGCTGTAATTAATCTAGTTATTGTATTTTTAAATTAGTAATATACATGAATAAACAATTTTGTCTTAATATATATGAAGATTTATTTTGTATTTCTTTGCACAATTCATATTCATTGATTGAATAATCATACTGGATGTACGTATAAATGTTAATACATCAAATTCCTTGAGAATGTCTTGGTATACTACTGTTTAATGAGAGCAAATTTTCAATACTTTTATTTATTTGTCACTGTTGAAAAGTCTCCTGGTGGGAAGGCAGTAGGTCTATAGATTTACAATGCTAACATCAAGATTCAATTCCACTTGGTGGACACAGTAGATAGCTGATGTGGCTTTGCAATAAAAATAAAACACACTCCCACATGCATTGTTGAATAATATTAAGATTAAAAATATGTATATATGACTTTAAACATACATATGATAAAGTAGTTTGTGTATTTTAACTATTCAATTCTAAATAATAAATACTGCTATTAAAGTACAAAAAAAACATATATCATGTAAAATTTTAAACCATATTGTCATTGGTAATGATGAAAAACAATTTTTGCAAAAACAAATACTATTTCTATTTATAAAATTTTCATTCTCCTGTCAAGGTTGAGTATTTCAATATACAATAATCTATAAATACAGTATTTATACTGAACACCAAACATGTTCAACATGAAAACAAATATGAATGGGTAATGATGAAAACTTGACTATAAGAGTACGTTTTGAAAAGATTATTTTCAACAAAAAAGTGGATTGGATGAAATGTACAAATCATTGTTGCAATTTTGTTAGTATTAAATTATAATATTAATACTCAGTATTTTTTAGCAGAATGTGACTTGAATGGTGTATCAGTACCTTTTAATGAATGGGCAGCAAAAATAAATAAGACATTATTCAAAAATCTCTTTCTCTGATAGGTAGAATGGTTTTATTCATGTAATTTGTTGTACATATTAAATATATATGTATTAAAACTATGATATTCTTGTAGCTTTATGGTTTTATAAATAATCTTCCAATTGTAAATAGTCAATTGTATGACTCCATAATTCCTTTGTCTGTGATGTATAGCAACATTTATCGATTGATGCAATGTCTTTTAGAAAAGAAGTGATTACCAAAATCGCTACTGGCTAAACATATAAACTATGTCTGTATTACGATAGATCTTTAAAACATTGCATTAAGCAAGTCTACTCAATTATATTCAAATGATAACTTTATTACATAAAAATGCAGTCAAAACTCGTACACAGTTCCCTAAATAGGACTTCTTCTGAAGGTATATAATACTTATCTATCAAAGGTATTAAAATATTATCTATATATTTAGGAAAACATGCAATATAACTTACCGAAATAGGAAATATATGCTCGTGACATGGATCTACTTCTGCTATGTATATATTATTCTGAACAGGATCAACTTCCACCAAACCTGCTACTGAAACAGCCAGTTGTTGAAAATCCTTTCGGACCACAGTATGATAGTAGGTATCGCTCGTGACACCCAAGATATTCTCACCAAATACAGAAATCACATATCGCACACCTGGTTGAAGCTATAAGTTAAGGTGAAACATATATATGTGAGTGTACCCTCTATAACAGAATAAAAAAAGTTCATCACAATATTAAAAACATGTTCATCTTTCTAACTTCTGTAAGTGAGGGTTATAACCAGTTTGTCCTCTAACGATGTTTACAGAACTAACACTCCACAGAAAACGAAACTTTATAATGGGAAAAGGTACTTACTTTCAGATAGTAACTTTTAGAACTTATAACAATAACTGTTAATTTCTGTCACATTATTTTATTTGCAGATTAATTAAATAAACAATGATATTATGAAAATTCTCTTATGGGTGTAAAACAAAGCACATTACTGACTGAACCTTATGGTAACACCAATGAAACGATAAAAAGATACTACAAACCTCTTGAAAACACGAGAGATCGTGGTGTTTGGAGGGTTGGGAATGACAGGAATTTGGGGTAATCGAGAAAAGTTATGGAAAGAAGTATTTGTTTGTTTGTTTTTAATTATGCACAAAGCTACACAAGGGCTATCTGTGCTTTGCCCACCACGTTGTAAGTCCGCAGACATGCCGCTGTGCCACTGGGGGCGGAAAGAAGTGAAGAAAGGTGAGAGCAAGGTGTATAGTCAGGAGGTAGTCTCGCTAAGTCTGAAAGTTTAATCAAATTTGATATAGAAAGTAAAATTGCTTGTTAAGTGTCTTAACTTTGTATTTTAGTTAAATAAAACTTACATAGTCTCACATCCTTCGAATGTTTGGTTGACAATACGTCTGTACAACACAAGTACTCCGTAGCAATGGATGTGTAAGTGACAGTTTCAGTACATATATCATTCAACACCGGGAACATGAAATATCAAAATCATTTAAGCTACAAAAAATGTTCCCTCAAGACAATTCTTAGCCCTCTAGTATACATTCGTTTTATGAATGACATTACTTTTCTGAAGTTAATATCTACATATGCATTCCAACACGTGGATGTCGCGTGACCTCTTTTTTAAGTCACTTCATTTCATGGCATGTAGCACTCAACTCTGAAAAGACAAAATCAATAACATTTCGTAGAAAAATTAATGTAAAACGAAAACGGCTACCGAAAGTTAAACCTAAAATAATGAGTGTATTACCCTCACAAAGTACTTTAACAAAATTAGCACCAATGTTTACCAAAAGAACAACTATCTCAGGATAATTGGAGGAAACTTAAGGTATGTCAATTCAATACCATGGTGATGATATTCAAATATTTTTTGTGTATATGTTAGTAGTTAACGAGATTAACACGCAACAGGGGTGGAGGAAGGGAAAAGATGATGTCTTAGACAGCAGAGAAGATGAAGTCATAGCTACACAAAGTGTCACCAGAGGGCGCATTGCTAAGCTGCCATGACGATGTCATCATAGAGTGCCTCAAAATGTCATCAATGTCTATATTTAAATATTGTTACATCTCCGTTTGTTTATTGATTTTCGGTAACTTCGATCTGACGAAACTTTAGCAACACAAGTCCTTACTTAATAAAACTGGTTTATTCTTTCCGAATACAACTTTACGATACACTCAACTTCAACAGTCGCGCTATAACAAACTATAGTTCACGTCTCACGAGCTCTACTTCAACAATACTTTCTCACTGCAGATCAATTACTCACTGTCTACACACACATTATTCATTATTTTACCGTCACGTTGTCACCCTCTTTTATATACCGGACTACCCTATATCTAGTAAATGCTAGAGCATTCGCTAAAGTACAGGATAGTTCTAGAAAGTAGAGGACGTAGAATAGTCACGTGATCTCGATGACGCAACAATATATTACAAGTAAAGCCATTATTTTAACAAAACAAGTATTACAACGCTGTTACACATGTCAATTTTTATCATGCATTATTTGAACAAGGAAAATATTGCAGTCAATAATTTATTTTACATACATTTACAATTAACTGTCACTTTATGCATAAAACACACCACTAATTCATTTGTTCTAAAGTTTTTGCATCTATATTTAATCATACTTTTGCTATTTCTAAAACTGCATAGTGTTACTATCTCATTTCACATACTGATATAAGTAAAATAATCTCCTATTTTAATGATATCAGCATTTTCTTACATACATTTTATAAAGGTGAATGGTGTTTCTATAGGCGGATAATGCTACTTAGGTTCTATACATGTATGATCTTACTAGACATATTTTGTGTTTTAGAAAGGTGGATGACTGCATACAGATTTCAACATATATTTATATATGTATATTAAATTACCTACGTTTTACAAAGGCTGATAGTGTTTATGTAGTTGGATGGTGTTACATTAGAAGATCTATAGAAGAATTATCTTACTAGGCATATTGCATGTAACATGTCATCAATGTGTAGATTTAATGAGACAACTATCATACCATATTATGCACACATAATATACATTATTCGATCTATTATACATTTATAAAATACTTCACTAATCCATTACTCTTCACTTCTATATCTAATCATGTGTTTTGCATTTCCTGATTTTTTCATTTCTATAAATTGTCCTGAAAATGACAAATATTTTCATGTTTCGTTTCATAAGTCACTAAAGTTTAAAGGATCTATGTAAATAACATATTCTATTGTTACCTCTTTGTCTAGAACTTCTTTCTTGCTGACTGCATACAGTGTATATTTTTGCATGGTCGCTTTCACCCTATTCCTGACATGAGTCACGCTTTTGATATTGAAGACCACTGACCAACTTGAATAATTTTGATTTTAGAAAATATTGTTACGACAGCGGAAGTCACGTGATGTTGATAACACGTCATGAGTTTCTAGAAGGATCATGACTGTTCCTGGAAACTCTAGTGTTTGCCAGACACCGTCTATTTTTGTATATAACCCCGGCAAATAAAGCGGAGATATGAATTGCAGATAGGGAGATACAGAGACAGATAATCAAGTCAAGTGAGCGGTAGTGACCGTAAGTAAAGTGCGTGAATCGTTGTGAATTATAGCATGTGTCTAAGTTAAAGTGACTGTGGAAATTAAGTGTATTGTAAAGTTGTATTGACAAAGAATAAACTAGTTTTATTTAAGAAAGGACTTGTATCGCTGAAGTTCTTCGGGAAGAATTTATACTGGAAATTAACAAACCACCAGAGATGTAACAATATACAGGACATAATATCATGTTTAGTAGGTTTTTAACATCTCTTTTTTCCTAAACAGATATCACTTTTGTTTGAATGTAGAAAACTCAATCTGACTCACAGTCTTACTAAAAGAATGGGGTCATCAAATGGCAGAAACAAATTGTGAAACAAAAGTTAAACAAGACAATTATAATATATTGTCACTATTTATATATTTACATTATATTTAATATTGAAAGAAAAGGTTTCAAACTCTACATAAATTTAATGTTCACCATACTTTAATTAAAGCTTTTGTATGTCACTGAATTCAAATGTCGATAAACATAGTTCTTTCACCTTACATAGTGATACAAAACACTAAATGTGTATTCCAGATATTTGATGGGATATTTTAGTTAAAGTATAATTCTTGTATACTTTCGATCCAATTAGACTCCACGATCTGACTATTCCCATTTCTACAAAAATGTGTTTAACAATTCAATAGAAGTCTCTGTGTTGATAAACTATCGTCAATATATATATATAAGTCAAGTCACAAACTCTAATTAAGACTGATGTTACACTCACTGAAACATTTATTAACAAAACTGTAAGATACACTACGCTTTATGTAAACGTCCTAGTTTATAAAATAGTGGATTACCTTTCATACAAATTATGTTCATGTTACTATTTGTTCATTTCAACTCAGTATATAAAGTGCAATTCTTGTATTCTAACAGTATTTTACAACAAAAGCATTTTATATAATCTCTTCAGTCAAAAGTTCAGACTGTGTCAGTCAGCTTAAAGTATTTATCAAATTGAAAGGTCGATTCAATTCTAATTTTAATACATATAATATATACTTAGACATAAACTACAACAACATGTGAAATGTATGAGATTTATGAATACATTTGTTAGGAACTTACTTTTAAGTAGTATACATTAAGTTAGTATATAGGTGTGTTGGGCTAAGGATTCTTTTACAGTAGATGTCTGTGACTTGTTGGTGATAAATTCAAAAAAATAAACGAACAGTACACACTCCACTTGTTTTTTCAAACAATATGTTCAAAACAAGTTAAACATATATACAAAAATTCTTTACATTTTGTATATGATAGTTGTATCGTAAATACTATACAGTTCTCTTTTTCTTATCAAAAGTCCACTTAGGCCAATTCAATTACTTTAGAATTCAGTTGACAAGACAAATTATTTTTCTCTATTTTTATCTTAAGCACTATCAGTGAATAATTCACTTATTCCTTTTCTTCTCTCTCTTTTTTATCATAACAGTATCAGCATATAATTCACTTGTGCTGTTATTGAGTTACTTCAGTTGTATCTTTAACTTTCGATACTCGTCTGCTTCTTCGTATTTAAGCATACTTACAGTAAACGTGTGCTCTTCGCATATAGGCCTACTTCCAAATAATCATCTACCTTTTTTTTTGGTCAAAGTCCACAGAGGCAGGTTCAATTGCTTTATAACACCCTATGACGTGACAAATTATTCTCCTAAAATGTCAGAAAACTGTTAATCTCACTTTCATCTATCAACCATTAGGTTATTCACTCATACGACAGCTAACTTTAAGTTTTTAACCTTTCTCAGACCAAAACTCTTTCACTTGGCTTTACTTTGGCTTTCTTCCCTCTCCCTGGTCTCCCAACTGGTTGCTGCTTTTTTATATCTGTCACTGAGGCATACTAGAAATCTCTGTAGCCTCAACATCAATAATTTACATACACAACTTCCAATAATCGTCTGCTTTTAACTCTCTTGTTATGAATAAAACTAAATGATCATGAAATATTAACTCACAAGGTTGATTAATTAACACAATCTACACTAAACAGTCTTTTATATTTGAAAACAT